TATACCAAGAACAGGAATAGACGTTTTGTTACACCCATTAACCCCAGAGTTAATATACCAGAGAGTGTTAAAGTGTCTGAGGAGGAACCTATGCAATTAGGGGTTGCCAAACTCTCTGATACTGAGAAATTACATAGGAGAAGGGAGGGACTCTGCCTATACTGTGGTAGGAGAGACCATATGGTAAAGGAATGTCCTTTACTCCCGGAAAACTCTCGCACCTAAGACCTTATAGGGGACTGGCCTTGGGTGTGATATCTAAGTCTCCTAAATTGCCTCCTAACCGCTTGCTTCTCCCGGTTTCTTTATATATGGGAGAGATTTGTATAGTTGACAACATATATGCTCTGGTTGACTCTGGGGCAGCTGAAAATTTTATAGACTCTGGCTTTATAAAGAGAAACAACATTCCCATCAGAGAGAAGGAGATACCCTTGGCCGTTGAGGCCATAGATGGTAGACCATTAAGTTCTCCAGTTGTTACTCATGAGACTGTACCATTACACATGTACACAGGGGTTTTACACTATGAAACCATTCGATTCCAGGTCATCACCTCTCCCTCTTCACAGTTAGTATTAGGGTATCCATGGTTACGTGCTCACAATCCCATTTTTGACTGGGAGACAGGGCAAATAAAATCATGGAGTGAGGCCTGCCACGAGTCTTGTACGTTGGAAGTCACACCTTTGAATTCTATTGAGGTACCTACCAGTCCTCCTCTGTCTACGGTTATACCCCCTCAGTACTTATCTCTAAAGACTGTTTTCGATAAAAGGGAGGCTGAGAAATTACCACCTCACAGACCCTATGATTGCGCTATTGACTTGTTGCCTGGCACTATACCTCCAAAGGGCAGGGTGTACCCCTTATCGGTTCAAGAAAACCGTGTCATGGAGGAGTACATCAAGGAATCACTAGAAAAAGGGTTTATTAGGAGATCCTCTTCTCCAGCTGGAGCAGGGTTCTTCTTTGTATCGAAGAAAGAAGGTGATTTAAGACCGTGTATAGATTATAGAGGTCTAAACAAAATCACTATCAAAAATGCATACCCTATACCTTTGATTACAGAATTATTTGACAGGCTGAAACATGCCACTGTGTTCACTAAATTAGACCTTAGGAGTGCATACAATTTGATACGTATAAAGGAAAATCACGAATGGAAGACTGCATTCAACACTAGATCCGGTCATTACGAATACACTGTTATGCCATTTGGGCTTTGCAATGCCCCAGCAGTATTCCAAGAATTTATTAATGATGTCTTGAGAGATTTTATTCACACATTTGTTATCGTATACTTGGACGACATTTTAATATATTCTACAGATATACACACTCATCACAGACATGTTACGACAGTTTTGAAGACCCTTCTTGCTAATGGTCTTTATTGCAAGCTAGAAAAATGTCTGTTTGACCAAACCGAAGTCCAGTTCTTGGGGTATTTGATTTCCGCTAAAGGTTTTCGTATGGATCCCCAGAAGCTTGCTGCTGTAATAGAATGGCCTCTACCGCAAGGTCTGAAAGCTATTCAGCGTTTTCTTGGGTTCTCCAATTATTATAGACGTTTTATCAAAGGTTTCTCGTCCATTGTAGCACCTATTACCCGTATGACTAAAAAGGATGGCAATACTCGTGTTTGGTCTACCGAGGCACTTCAGGCTTTTGAATTTCTTAAAACTACGTTCGCCTCTGCACCTATTTTACAGCATCCTGTCCCCTCACTGCCCTATATTCTTGAAGTTGATGCTTCGGATATTGGGGTAGGTGCTGTCTTATCCCAAAGAGAGTCGCCTGAAAAGCCATTGCATCCATGCGGCTTCTTTTCTAAACAAATGTCCAAAGCAGAGAAAAATTATGATGTGGGTAATCGCGAACTCCTTGCTATTATTTTAGCACTTAAAGAGTGGAGACATTTGTTAGAAGGAACTAAGGATCCTATCCTCATTTTTACGGATCACAAGAACCTATCCTACCTTAGCGAAGCCAAAAGATTGTCTTCCAGGCAGGCTAGGTGGTCACTATTTTTGTCCCGTTTCAATTTTATTATCACCTATAGGCCAGGTGATCGCAACACTAAAGCAGACGCTCTGTCCAGACAGTTCGAAACTACTGACAAACAGGAGATTGATGTTACTCCTGTCATTCCCCAGACAGGATAATAGCTACTACTATTTTGTCTATTTCCTCGTCCCTCTTGCAGGCCATACAAGCGAAACAAAGCATGGCACCTAGCGAGAGGCCTAATGATAAACTGTTCGTTGATGTTCCTGAGAGACGGGATATTATGTCATTATATCATGATACTAAGACCGCTGGACATCCTGGTATTTCCAAAACGGTGTCAGCTGTTTCTCGGTATTTTTGGTGGGATTCCTTACGAAAGGATGTCACTGATTATATAAGTGCTTGTACTACTTGTGCCTGTATGAAATCCTCCCGTAGAGTTCCTTGTGGACTGTTGCATCCGTTACCCGTTCCCGAGAGACCTTGGTCTAACCTGTCCATGGATTTTATTGTTGAATTACCCCCTTCAAATGGTAACACAGTGATCCTGATGATAGTGGATCGGTTCTCCAAAATGGCTCACTTCGTGTCTCTTCGCAAGTTGCCCACATCCAAGGAACTGGCTCATATCTTCGCTAGAGAAGTATTTCGATTACATGGGATTCCCGTATCTATTGTATCCGATAGGGGTAGCCAATTTATTTCCAGGTTCTGGAGGGCCTTTTGTTCAGAAATGGGTATTTCTCTCTCATTTTCTTCCGCTTATCATCCCCAGTCTAATGGGGCTGCTGAACGTGCCAACCAGTCTCTGGAGCAATACCTCCGTTGTTTTGTGTCTCACCATCAGGACAATTGGTCTGACCTGCTTCCTTGGGCTGAATTTGCTCGGAATAACGCCACTCATGATTCTTCCGGCAAGACCCCTTTTTACGTTGTCTATGGCCAGCATCCCGTTGTTCTTCCGGCTGCATTCTCCTCACAGGGCATGCCAGTTCTGGATGAGCATTTGGCTGGTTTGCGTGATACTTGGGAGCAGGTTCAGCGTTCTTTGGTGGACTCTGCTACTCGCCAGAAGGCTCAGGCTGACAAGCATCGCAGAGCAGCTCCGTCCTATGTTGTGGGGGACAGGGTTTTGCTTTCCACGCGGAATATTCGTCTCCGGGTGCCTTCTATGAAATTGGCTCCCCGCTTCATTGGACCTTATCGTATTATACATAAGGTTAATCCTGTTTCTTATGCCTTAGGCCTGCCTAAGAATCTACGTATTCCTAATGTTTTTCACACCTCATTGTTGAAACCTTTCGTACGCAACCGCTATACCCGGCATACTCCTCCTCCCCCTCCTATCTCGGTAGAGGGTCATGAGGAGTTTGAAGTGTCTGCTGTTCTTGACTCTCGTTTCCTTAGGGGTTGACTTCAGTACTTGGTACATTGGAAGGGTTATGGGCCTGAGGAGCACAGTTGGATTTCGGCTGATGCTGTCCATGCTCCCCGTCTTGTGCGCTCTTTCCATTCTCGTTTTCCTGCCAGGCCTGGTCCTACCCGCCCGGGGGGCGTGTCCTCAGGGGGGGGTACTGTAGCGTTACTTACCTTAACCGGGGGCCGGTCGCGGTCCTCTCTTCAAGCCGCGCGCGGTCCTGCGGCTGCACGAGCCGCGCGCGGCTCATCCGACTGCTTTGGATGGAAGGCGGGCAGTGACCGCGTGAAGCGGTCACGTGTCCCGCCTGAAACTAAGAGCGCGCCGCGAGTCTCGGGCGCGCTCTTAAAGAGACAGTGGGAGCCTAATTGCCAAAAGGCTCCCATTGGCTCCTGTCATACCACACTCCCTGTACAATTACCTATAGGGGGTGTGGAAGTGACAGGAGCCAATCACTTTCGTTTTAAAGCTATTTAAACTTACCTTTTTCCCTTAGCTCGTTGCCCTATCGTGGTTTCTGTTTCAGTTCCCTTTAGCGCTTGTGGTGTTCAGTTGTGTTTTCTCGTATTGACTTTGGCTTCGTATTCTGACTTCGTTTTCGCTTTATCCTTATCTGTACTGTTTGCCGGCTTGCTGTTTTCCGTGTACCAGACCCCGGCTTGTCCTAGTTTACGCTGTCTCTCTGTGCCCTTGACCTCGGTTTGTTCCTGGCTCTGTCTTCTCTCATATACGTCGAGTCCGGCCATTCTAAGGTCCGGTAGACGTATCTCTCCTCTGTATTTGCCTCTATTTAGCTGGATCCTGCGTGTAGGGGTATATTCTCGTTACACAGACTAAGTAATTAATTTTACTTTCTAAATTTTACAAGGTTCCATTGTAAGTAAGGGGTGAAATTGAGTTTAGAACTGTCAATTTTACAAATTACGATCAAAGTAGTTGCCACAAAGACTGAGACAAACGCTTTGAACTGACAGCAAATCTAAGTTATGGTAGTCATTTTAGATAAGCCAAATGATGTCAAAATCGTAATCAGGAAAAGTTAACTCTTCCCTGGATAAGAAGGATTAGTTAGGCAAGACTGCCCTCTATGGATCAAATACCTAAATTGCCATCCATAGATTGAACCCATCTACAGTTTCCTATTGGCTTATCAACTAATGACGTACAGAGAGTCTGGCCCTTTAAAAAGTTAGGACAAAGGGAAGAGAGGTAGTTGGCAGAGAGAGAGTTGGTGTTTGGGCATTCAGATTCGGACATGCGGAGAGAGAGACTCAAGAAACAATCTCTGGGACTAACACTCTACTCTTAAACTCTCTTGGACACTCAACTCTTAAACTCTTTGACACTTAGAATTTTACTTACTTTCTAACCAACACCACTTTTTCTATCACTCACGCACCTCCATACAACCAATCAAGTTCCTGGGACTACCTACTCATCTGATGAGAATATTTATATAACTGGTAATTATGCTGGTTTTATTTAATTAATTTAAATTAATTAAAATTTACTAATGGCATGATATATGACTGGATAAATCACGGTCAGGTTTCAATATTTAGAAATCTTAGTTAAATAAAGAATATATAGTTATAAACATTCCATTCTGCAGGTGGAATTAATAATAATTATATATTAATGTGATATTATCACGTGTTAGCATACCGCTGTTTTTATCCAGGTGTATTGATTTGCTCTAAATAAGATAACATATCTTTTTAGACAAATTAAAATTCGGCTTTTTGTAAAAATCTGGTAGATTATTCTTATTGGATGGTTCCAGGAAATGACTAATGAGTTGGTTCAAATGTTATTTTAATTGAAAATCACAGGAGAATAGGATACTATATGCCTAGGAGGATCTAGCCAGCATTGAAAGGCTTACTCAGTTGATCTGTTAGCCAAGGTTTTACTCTGTGTGAAGTTTGCTTTCTGTATCTGCGAAATACCTCATAAATCTTAAGTGACAGATGATGCAGTTAGCCATTGGAACGTGTATAGCCATTCCATTGTATTGCATACTTATGTTATACTAAATATTCACTGATTATTATCATGCATGCTGCCTAATATTATTGTTATGTTATATGTCACAATAAATTAAATCTATTTTTATAACTTATTGTGATCTTAATTGTATGGAATACTTTTCACTTATATGATAAACGATCTCTAAGATCTAAGAGAATTGAAATAGTGGGCAATTCTCGATTGTTTAATATTATCATCCCATAAATATCCCCACAGTCACTACAACTCACTTTCAGTGAAATGATCCCTAGATGTCACTGCTACCTGTTTACCTACTATCATGAACTTACCTGTGCCTTACGCTCCCCTCCCAGGGCCAGTCAAGCAGAACGATCCATGTGGCCGCATTACCGCAGTTCTCAGGCCGTGTGGCCTGTATAGAATACTCCCCTTCGGTCCCATGAACGGCTCCCTCTGCTGGTTTGAGGGCCGAACTGCAGCCCCTGGCAATAAAAGTATTTGCCATGATGTTACGACCTCAAAGGGACCACGTCATCTAGGCGACCCTATGCTGTTTGGGGTCACATAGATGATGTAGACCAATGAGAACACTTTTGAGCCTATTTAAGGCTTTGTATTTGTCTTCGTGATTTTCTGGTACCCTGACCCGGCTTTGTCTTGACTCGGAGTATTTCTATATGCCTGACCTTGATTTATCTTGACCTTGTTTCTTGCTGTGTTTATACGTTAAGTCTGGCCATTCTAAGGCTCAGTAATACGTCTTTTGGATCCACCTTTTGTTGCTTTCCACTTTCGTGCGTATTGAGGTAAGACTCCCGTGACAACGTACATCATGCCATCATCATACATACCAAAGATGCAAGACTCAGCAGTTCTGACATCCTGCCACTGCTATTCATAGAGCAATCCAGACACCAAATTAACTCTTCAATGGCTGTTTTGTGCATAAATGATGCAAGGGATGATATTATCACATAGCTATACGGCATTATTACTAGATGTCATATTTAACATAGCTAGTAGTAACTCAGGCTCATCTTTACACTGAAGTAATGCATAGTGTCTGCATATTCTATGACTTATTGCACACATATTTTGCACATGTGAAAAGTTAATTTGCAGAGGCAGCACTAGAGTTGGTGAGGCTTAAGGCAAAGCTCCAAAATAAGGTTCCGTAGTCCTTTTTCAGCCCCTGACGAAGGTGTTCTTACACACCGAAATGCGCGTCGGGCATTAGCTTGTTCGTTGTTTTGTTTCTTCACTTCACTGTCTATAGGGACTATTCACCACACCAAATGGGTATTTAGATTTATTTTCAGTTTTGCATAGTGCTGGCTCATAGTTAGCTATGGCTATGGGAGATTAGGCAGTTTCCATAGTTTAGAGTGGATTTAGTCTAGAACACCCACGAAGGTGTTGGAGGAGATTTAGGGTTAAAGGAGAGAAGTGGTCTGGAGAGCCTCTTTTTTTCGGATTATTATTATCCATCCAATAGCCCAGCACCTTTTGAATAATTGATGAGAAGGGGTGGCAGTCGGTTTATAGTACATTTACTACCTTGTATTATTCGGTCTTCATATATATTTAGACAGCCTACCTTTATATTTTCCACTCTCTGCCTATATCCATATATTTGGAGGGAACCTCTTTTCGCTGCCCTTGGCAATATTCATTTAGGTAAATTTAGTACCATTTTTGGCCATGGAGGGGGAGCGAAGTTAGTGTTCTGTGGTTTTGCAGTAAGGATCAAATAAAGACATATGTCCATAACTTTATTTTTCCACAAGGGCACTAGTTAACACAATTCAAGGTTGCTGACTTACATACCATAACTACAATGAGTCTTTAGATACTATTCCATTAGTGTTGTCTATTTACGTTTCTTGCCAGCTTTAGATCTTCTTATTCTTGGAGGTCATTTCTATTTTTCAGTTTATTAATTTATTAGGGTAAAGCCCTGGGTGGAACTGGCACCACCACCTGACCACTTGCCACTGTTTTTACCTCTCATACTTCATTTTCCATCTTTGAAGTTGATTAAACAAGGCTATTTATTATTTATCTTTTATTTAGGTTCCATAGTCCCCCTCACTACCCCTTGCCCCAAAGTCCATATACGTTACATTTCCGCAGACTTTACAATTACTCCATCCCAATAATCGTATACCCTGCAAGCCCACCAACCACATCATCTCAGTAATCCCCTTATCACACCCTCTTCACACAGCACCTTTCACACCAGCCACAGCCAAATTGTGCCCTCACACCTGCACTTAGATCAACTTCAGCACTATACTTGATTGTCTAGTGGTTTATCAGTTTTGAGTGAGCTAGTGTAAGGGCAGAAACCAGCTATGGGGTCGCTCTGTGGTGTATGATGTAGTCAAATGGATTGAAAAAAGTATTACTAGACATTAGTGGGTGGGCTTAACATGAAGATACACACAATGTATAATCTTATTAGATAAAACTTACAAAAGAGTTAAGGTCAGGAGTCTGGAAACCAGGTAAGTCAGAGTAGCCAAGGTCAGGGCAGGAAGCAAATTGGGAAAGTCAATGAGCAAGCTGGCTTTGTCAGAAAACTGGAGCACTAGGATATGCCAAACTCAGAAAAAACTGCAAAAGTAAGAACCACGAACTGGCAATGAACCTAATGAGAGGAGTAGGCCTATGACATGACACGTATGTGACCTTGTGTGCAAATATTGTGATACAAGGCGTAAATAATTGATGCGACCATAGAGTGTCTGGCATAACATTTTCTAATAGTATGTAGCAAGCATCAAAAAGGGTGTAAGGTTGCATCTAAAAAGGATGTTGACGATATGGAAAGGGGGCGTGGCTTAGCCAGCTACAGAGATGTTTGCCTTCTAGGGGAGGTCCTGGGACACCAAGCAATTTAATATGATAATCTTAATACTCAATTTATTAAAGGTACAATATACTATTTAACCACTGATACAGTGAAGGTAAAGAATATCTGAAAAAGAAGACAGAAATAAAGATGCAAAGAGCAAAATTGATAAATCAAGGAGCTGCACACAGTAAGTCTGCAACGACACCAATGTAACCGGGGTTGGTTCCTTTATTTACCACTATAACTCCTTAAAGCATAGAACTTAGTAGGGCTAACCATACAGATATCTTAGCCATAATTTTATATAGTTAGTGTAAGAGATCCTCTATTTATCATATATAAATAATTGAGAATACAATATAAAATAAGGATTGTCTTGGAAGCAATAAAGTTTTGTCTTTTAGATATTTATTATATAAAAATATAAATATAGACACATTAAATCCATTATAGCAGAGTTTATATGATTAAACTAAATGCTTGCAAATATCTTTAATAAGTTAACATATAGTGATGACCCGAACGATTCGCCGAACGGTTCACCGCGGACGGCGAACATAAACATAAACTTTGACCCTGTACCTCACAGTCAGCAGACACATTCCAGCCAATCAGCAGCAGTCCCTCCCTCCCAGACCCTCCCACCTCCTGGACAGCTCACTAATAATGCAGCTTCACAATGAATGTAAAATGGATGCTTTCCAGGAGGTGGGAGGGTCTGGGAGGGAGGGTCTGCTGCTGATTGGCTGGAATGTGTCTGCTGACTGTGAGGTACAGGGTCAAAGTTTATGTTTATGTTCGCCATCCGTGGCGAACTGTTCGGCAAACCGTTCGGCGAACCGTTCGGGACATCACTATTAACATACCCTACTGAACATGTCATCATGTCAGCCTCTCTGTCATTTTAAGATGGAGCAGCGTCTGTCTCCAAGTCTCTCCTCTATTTCTTAACATTTTAAAAGTACACCTATTTATGCCTTAGGTGTCTTCATTTTAGGGTCACTGTAGTTCATATATGAAAAAGTAACACTTCTTTTACTTTATTCATTTTAGGACCTCCCTTAACTTGGCAAAAATACAAGGCCATAACTAAAGGGTGTATTTATCATGGAAAGTTTCCTGACTTAGTTCAAGATGGCATCTTACAGTCTCAACATCTTTATCTATTTAGGGTTACCACAGTATATTGTGTACTGAAAGAGTCGTAGCATAGCCTTGAAGCTTGTTTATGCGTTATTGTTATTGTAATTCATCGGGGACAAAATGGAGTAAACATATTATTGCTATATTAGGTAAGAGGTTATTGCTTAAAAAAACAGTTATGAAAAACAATATGTTCCATTTCTAACACCTTGTTAGTTTGCAATATCTCTTAAAGACAAAGTACACAGTTTAAGAAATACAACATTTCATTCTAAAACTTGTAATATTTGCATTTCCCCATAACACCAATGACAACTGACAAGCACTTAACTGGAAAAAATGCATTAAAACCTCCAGTGAATAATTCCACTTTAATAGAAAAGACAGATACGTCATGTTTAGATAAAAAACAATAATTCATTCAGCACAAGAATCAGATTCTTCAAAAATGTCCATTATAAAATCACCATTAAAAGCAGAACTGACAGTTTGTGACAGGCTGGAGACATTATATAAGAAAGAGTCTTGTTCGGGAGTTTCTCCTAACACTTTACATACACAGACAGCAATTGAGAATGACTTTCGCCATATGAACGTATGAACGAGACCGGTGAAGGAGTTTCACCACAAAACTCACGAACGCAAAGGTTTGCGACTACAACTAGTATAGAGGTTATTAGGAAACATGCGAACAGTATGAGTTCGGGAGTTCCCAAACAAGCTAATATAGATGAAAATCACACGCAAGCTCCTTATAAAGCTACAACACATACTGACACTGGAAATAACACTATTGTACCGAACACAGCTCATTCGTTAAGCGAATGCAGCTACATCTCACATGAATCCAAGGCAGCAACATCTCATACTAAATCCTCTAATATCCCTATTAAAGGAAAA